AAATGTAATAAATAAAAATAAATAAATATAAAAAAAAGAGAGAATTAGCTGGATCAAAAGGAATTTCTAATTTTAGTTTTTTGCTTGTTTTATCTTTTAAAACCAAAGCATCAGGGGTTGGGGAGATATCCCAGCGGAATAAGCTCCTGTTTGCCAAGTGCAAGGCCCTGAGTTTGATCCCCAATACCAAAAATAAATAAATAAAGCCAAAGCATTTATTTTGAGTAATTGTTGAACTTCTCAAGATAAACGAACCAGGGAGATAGCTGAGTGGCATAAGTACCTTCCTGGCAAGCACAAGGTCCTGAGTTTGATCCCTGGTACCACCAAAAAACCCAAAAGTCAAGATGAATTGGATGCTTCAGTAGCTGTTCTCTTGGATTTAGATGTTGTTCCTTCACAAAATTCATGCCTGAATTTGCATGCACAATTTTTAGGTGCTTCATTCTCCCAGTTCTGGGAGTATTTCACCTTTTAGCCTTTATACTTTCTCTTGTGCTTAGCAGCATAGCATATTTGCCAGGGGCCAACTTCTGAATGTAGTAGGCCTTAGCACCACAGCAGTGGCATGATGTGTGTGTGTTAGGAAGCTTTTCAATGGATGATGGTCCCATCCTCATCTGGTTTATGCCTCTGAGACCAAAGAGCTCTAGTCTGTTTTTTGAGGAATCTCCACACCGATTTTCACAATGGTTATACTAGTTTATATTCTCATGAGCAATGCAGAAGAGTTACTTTTCCTCCACATCCTCACCAGCATTCGTTACTATTTGATTTTCTCACTATGTAGCCCAAGCTGGCCTTGAACTCATGGTGATCCTCAGTAGCTTGAGTACTGGGATTACAGATGTATACCACCATACCTGTATATTTGACTTTTTAAAGATAGTCAAGGAGATTTTTTAAATTTTTTTTTATATTTATTTATTTTTATTACATTTATTTATTGTGTGTGTGTGGCCAGCTCAGCCCACCAGGGGGCGGGGCTGGCTGGCATGTGGTGCTGGGGATCGAACCACGGCCCCTGTGCTTTGCCAAGCTTGTTTCAAGTAGGTGCTTTAGACCACTGAGCCATCTCTCCAGCCCCTAAATTTTTTATTTATTTAATTTTATTTTGGGGGACTGGAGATTGAACTCAGGATCCTGTGCTTGTTAGGCAGGTGCTTAAGCCACTGAAGTCTCTCCCTGGCCCATTTTTCAAAATAACAACTTTATTATTTAAATATAATTCACATAGCATAACCTTTTTTTGGAAAACAAGGTCTCACTATGTTGTTCATGTGGCCTTGAACTCATGGGAATCCTATCTCAGCCTCCCAAATGCTAGGATTACAGGTGTGCATGATGACACCTGGCTTAGAATATAACTTGTTAAAGTGTGAAATTCAGGATTGGCAGTATAGCTCAGGGGTAGAGCACTTGCATAGCATGTACAAGACCCTGGATTCAAACCCTTCCCAAAATAAAATTAAAAGTCTGCAATTGCGTGTTTATTTACATAATTATGCAACTATCACTATTATGTCAGAACATTATCATCTTTCAGAGGAAATCACATACCCCAGTCATTCATACCAGTCATTCCCTGTTGTCCCCTTCCCATGATAACAAGTAGTATAGTTTCTGTCTGTATAATTTGTCTGTTCTGGGTATTGCATATAAATGGAATTTGAGAATCTTTGTGTCTGGCTTGTTAGTATATTATTTTCAAGATTCATCCATACTTAGTATGTATCAGTATTTCATTCCTTTTCATGGCTGAGTAATATTGCACCATATGGATATACTAGTTGATGAATGTTAGGTTGTTTCTATTTTGGCTCCTGTATAGTGCTGCTATGAACACTTCCTATAGGGGTGTGTGTGTGTGTATTTTTGTTTCTATTGGGTATCGACCCTAGAGTGAACTTGCTGGGTCATATAAATTTTTTTTTTATCACTTGTTAAATTACATTGTATGATAGTTCAGTGGCACAGAGCCTGCCTAGTAGGCACAAGGTCCTGAGTGTGATTCCCAGAGGGGGAAAAAATTACATTGTATGCTTGGTTGTTGCTGGTGTTGATTAAATAGGTAAAATATAAAATACACCATTATTTATCCTGAGCAATAGCACAAGTTGAAAAGTTGAAACATGTCCAAGAAAAATGCACAGATGAAAAATACATAATGATATATGCAGTGTATTATTTGTTGAAACTGTCCTTCCGATATGATTTGAAACTTTCTCATTGCTATCTGTTTGTCAATAAAACTTTGAGAAAAAAAAAAATACATAATGGCTGGAAGGGGAGGTTAGAAATGCTGAGGTTATATTCTGTGTGGTAGGTTAAAGACTACACCCAAACAGAGGGTCACATCACTATCTCCTGAATTTTCAAATGTTACTTCAAATAGAAAATATCTGGATATGTGAGTAAGTGGTAGAGAGATCATCCTAGATTAACGGGTGGGCTCTGGATGAAATCACATACGTTCTTATAGACAAAAGGAAATTTGGCTCACATGGAGTAGAAGATGGAGCAGACAGAGCAAGATGCAGCGATGTGGCCACAAGCCAAAGCATGTGACAGCCACTAGAGGGGGAAAGGAGGAGGAACAATTCCCCTCTAGAACCTCCAGAGGGAGCATGGCTCTGCTGACACCTTGGCTTTAGCCCAGTAATACTGATTTTGGATTTCCGGCTTCCACAATTTTAAGAGAATAGTCTCTTTATATTTATTTATTTATTGGCGGAACCAGGGATTGAACTCAGGCCCTTACGCTTGCCAGCAAGCGCTTATTCTACTGAGCCATCTCCCCGGCCCCTTCTTTTGTTTTAAAACATGAAATTTGTGATGGCAGCTTCAAGAAACCAATACATCCAAATCTTTTTAGATTAGGCAGAAGATATAGCTCAGTGAAACCGTGCTTGCCTAGCAAGCTCGAGGTCCTGAGTTCAATTTCTAGAACCAACCAAACAACAAGCGAACTCATTTTAGATCAATACAGAGAACAACCACTGACTATATTAATTTTCTCTTGGCATGAGGCCTTCTGGCATATATTCTGGCTATCCAGCATATAGTCGGTGTTTATTTTGTTTTATTTCTTGAACAGGTTCTCCGTATGTACCTCAAGCTGGCCTTGAACTCACTGCTATCTTCTTGCCTCAGCCTCCTGAATGTTGGGATTACAGGTGCGCATCACCATACTCAACTAAAGACTGATTTTTAAAATACTAGTCCAGTGTCTGGAAAAAGACTAGGCTGAGGGGCAGGTATGAGTAGAAACTCCGATCAGCAGCTCCCCCTGAACCCTAAGAGCTCACCTTGGGACCCACCTGTCTGTACACTCCCTTCCCGGAGCCATGGTGGGGGCGACTGTTGGGAAAGGAAGGGATATGAAAGAGAAGAGAAGGCCAGGTTATTCCCGCTAGCAGTCTGGCCCAGAGCTGGGGATCCCTGGACACGCGGCCTCTTCCCGTCTAGCCCCGCCCTGAGACGTGGGCAAAGTGAGGCCCCGCCCCTTCCTGGGAGCCAGATCCGCCCAGATTCCACCCCCAAGGATGCTCGGGGTGGGTGGCGAGACCTGAAAGGGGATCTTGGGTGAAAGGAGCCTTGGGAAAGGTCTTTCCCTGGACCCTGTGCCCTGGGCTCCCAGGTTCACGCTTGCTTACTTTCTCGGGGGCTTCCATTCATTTGGGGCCAAAAGAGAACAGCTGCGCACGCCCCCAGATTGCTGTAGCTTTGAGGATGGAAGGTTTGGGGAGGTCGCGCAGAAGCTGGGGGGATCAGCGGGCTGAAGGCAGCCTTGGGGTGGAGGAGAGAAGGGTGACGGACATTTCTGTGCCCAGCGGCGTCGTGCGTCTGGGCGAGGATCCAGAAACCCTGGATGAAGTTTTGGGATCATCTCGAGTGACAGTCTGGGAGCACAGAATACATTGAGGGAGGGAGCAGAGTGAAGATTAGGAGCCCTAGGTATAAAAGGGGCTCTAGGTGCCCGGTATACTCGGGGAGGCGCCCGAATCCAGAGTGCTTCACAAGATTAAGGGTGTGGGTGAACAGGATGAAACTCTGGGGTGCAGGTTGGGTAGAGTCTAGGTGCGCAGGATAACATTTTTCGCCGGGGTCTGGAGTCCCCAGGTAACTCTGGGGGGTCTGGCATCAGGTTGATGACCCCAGTACCCCGCACAGGGGGCCTCTGGCCAGGTTCCGAGAGGCAGCTGCTGGAGGCGCCGCGGGGGACCGGGAGGGGGCCTGCGGCCAGCCAGGGGCGGAGAAGCAGGGGTCGGGGTCCCTCCCCCTGGCGCGGGCTCAGGAATCCGCCGAAGGGCGGGCAGAAGCGCAGGGGTGGGCCGCGCAGCGGCGGGCGGGCGGGCGGGGGGCGCTTCCTGGGGCCGCGCGTCCAGGGAGCTGCGCGGTCAGCCTGTCCGTGTGCCCGCAGGCACTGCCAGAATCAGCCGAGCAGCCGGGCGCCGCTGGCCCAAGTGAGCCCTTGGGGCCGTGCGTGGGGGGAGGGTGCGGGGCCGAGTTGGCCAAGACGCGCAACGCAGACCCAGAGGCCTGAGCTCCTCGGCCCGCACCACGGCTGCGGGACCGGGCGGGGGCGGGGCGGCCCCGGCCAGTGGGCCCGCGAGAGGACTCAGCCCCCAGTCTGGGAGGCTCCCAGGCTAAAATACGATCCTGAGAGAAGACAGCTGGGGCTGGGGCTGAAACAGGGAATAGGTGGTCCCATGGCAGAGACCCCTGAGCCCTGCCCACCATCTCTCAGCCCCAGGATGCTCCCCTTCGCCTTCTGCTTCCCCGGGTCTCTACAGCTCTGGGCCCTGCTGTTGTTGCTCTTGGGGGCAGCCTATCCCCAGGATTCCGAGGAGCCGGACAGCTACACGGTAGGGACCATGGGGCTGCTGGCCTGGGACTAGATCAGCAGGGATAGAGACCAAAACTCTGGAGCTGCCACTGCTGGGGAAGTTTCTCCCCTCCCCTGGTGGGTGGAACCGCAGGGGGCCATTGTGCGGAGCAGGCCAGGAGGGAGGGTGAAGGAGCTCAGGTCCTGGTCTTGGCCTGGCCAGGGAGAGGAAAGGTGGGGCGATCACTGGCCACCTCTGGTTCCCTCCCAGGAATGCACAGATGGCTATGAGTGGGACCCAGACAGCCAGCACTGCCGGGGTGAGTGTGCCTCCGGGACCCCCAGGAACCAGGAAGTTTTCTTGCTTCCCAAGGATGCCCCAGACTCCTTAAGCTGTAGATCTGCTGGGTCCAGGCCAACTCTGGTTCTCTGGGGATGGCTCTGAGTGGTGGCTCCTCCCTCCAAGAAACCCAGGAAGTTCGCCTCTACCCCCAATAGGCAAGAGAGCAACTGGGCACTGCTCAGAGGAGAGCTGGGTTGTGTATACTGTTAGTGTGAACCACTCTTCTGTTTAGCTCTTTGTCCCACTGCAGTGTGGGAGGGCAGTGTCCACAGGGGTGGGTCAGCAGGCCTGCCAATCCTGCCTGGGCTAATTTAGATCCTGGGGACAGTGAGGAGGGATAGAGACCCACTTGGAGGCAGGAAAATGGGGGAAACTGTGGGAACAGCTATCCCCCGTCCAGCCCTGGGAGAGCCTGGAGGAAGGGGTCCTGGGAAGGCAGCCTTAACTTAGAATACAAGCTAGACCTTAACCAATCTGACAGTTTAGAGAAGGCCAAACAGGATTGCTGACCCCTTTCCCTCTAGGGCCAGTCCAGGAGACTGGCCATGCCTAGCAGACCCTTCTCTGCAGATGTCAACGAGTGCCTGACCATCCCCGAGGCCTGCAAGGGAGAAATGAAATGCATCAATCACTATGGGGGCTACTTGTGCCTACCACGCTCAGCTGCTGTCATCAATGACCTGCATGGCGAGGGACCCCCTCCACCAGTGCCCCCTGCTCAACACCCCAACACCTGCCCACCAGGCTATGAACCCGACCAACAGGAGAGCTGTGTGGGTAAGTGGAGCTGCTTGGGCACCCAGATTTTCTCTTACCAAGAATCTTAAAATTTAGACCTCATAATTCTTCCTTGTTCAAAGCCACTAGCTCCTCAGGGTAACATCCTCAACCCTCATTCAGATGCCCCCTTCCAAACCAAAAGGCCAGGGTGTTTTCCTTTTTTTTTTTTTTTTTTTTTTTTTGTGGTGGAACCAGGGATTGAACTCAGGCCCTTGTGCTTGCCAGGCAAGCGCTTATTCTACTAAGCCATCTCCCCAGCCCCCAGGGTGGATTCCAGTGCCCCCAACATGAGCTGTCATAGTTTTGGGGTAGCCTTCCAGTTGGTTCAGGCTGGTGGATTGTCATTTGTGTTGAGGGGATCTAATTTACATGTTTACATTTTGGGGTACCAATCATCCATGCATCCATGTGAATTGGTATCTGGCCTGTGGTACCCTCCCAAATTGAGGTATCTGTCCTGTTTGCTGGTGTGGGATTACAGGCAGGGGCTGAGTAGTATCTCTCACAGATGTGGATGAGTGTGCCCAGGCCTTGCACGACTGTCGCCCCAGCCAGGACTGCCATAACCTGCCTGGCTCCTACCAGTGCACCTGCCCTGATGGCTATCGCAAGATTGGGCCCGAGTGTGTGGGTAAGTCCAAGGAGTGACCTCTCCAGGCCTTGCTCTGTACCTCCAGCCTAGCTCTTGACCTAGTACCAGACCTCTATTCTACCCTACCTCTGGGCTTTACCCTAGTCCCCTGCTACCTGTGTCCTCTTGTCATCATAAAATATAAAAGGCTGTCATGGGGGGCTGTCCTTGTTGATGTGGTCCTGGCCCTGTCCTGCTCCCTAGACAAAGACAGGACCATGAATGCCAAGGCCTTGAGTTCCACCAGCTAAGATCCCACCTGACCTCTGCTCTACCCTCTTTCCCTTGCTTCTTTCCCAGACATAGATGAGTGCCGCTACCGATACTGCCAGCACCGCTGTGTGAACCTTCCTGGCTCCTTCCGCTGTCAGTGCGAGCCGGGCTTCCAGCTGGGGCCCAACAACCGGTCCTGTGTGGGTGAGGCTGGGCTGGGCCAGATTCCTGGTTCTGGGCAGGGAAATGGTGGTGGTGGAGAAGGTGGGAGGCTCCCTTTCAGGTGCAGTTTGGTTCTAGTGTTCTTCCGCTTTTCCATTTTTTCCTCTACCCCTAGATGTGAATGAGTGTGACATGGGGGCCCCATGTGAGCAGCGCTGCTTCAATTCCTATGGGACCTTCCTGTGTCGCTGCAACCAGGGCTATGAGCTACACCGGGATGGCTTTTCCTGCAGCGGTGAGAGCACCTCTGCGGCCTTGGGCTCCTGCATTGGTCTCCTCAGGCCCTGCTTCAGGCCACAGAGTCCTTCATTTCCTTCATGTCCCACCTCTGTCTGCACCACTGTACCTGTCACATAATCCATTCTGGGCTCATTGCTGAGCACTCCCACCCTGGCATGACGGCATAGTTGGGTCTCTACTGCAGCTCACTTGGGAGACAGAGAAGGATGACATTCCTTTTTTTTTTTTTTTTTTTTTGGTGGAACTGGGGATTGAACTCAGGCCCTTGCTCTTGCAAATACTTATTCTACTGAGCCATCTCCCTGCCCCCCACCTTTTTTAAGGATAACATTCTTACTGGATTTTTGACCAACCTGCATTCAAATCCTGCTCTAGCAAGAGTTGCTCTTCTCTAAGGGTATTTCTTTTGTAAAATGGGTCGTCTCGAGGCTGAAGGACACTGAAAGGCTTAAGTCTGAAGTAGCTAAAATGAATGATTCATTGAGAATAGGCCCCATGCAGGGCATTTCCCTTATATACTCGGACTTGCTAATCCTGGCAAGAATCCTAGGAAGATAGGCGTAATATTTTTCCTTCCTCTGTTAAATGAAGACATAGGCATCTCTTTATGGGTTACAAGGATTATAAAAAATAAGCATGAGGTTCTAGGTAAATGGTGCCTTTTATCCTTCCACTCAGAAGATAAAGTGCCTTGCCTCTGTGTTCATAGCAAGGATAAGATGGTCCTTGATCCAGTGCTTCCCCCATGTCACCTGACACACACTCTATGTGATGATGCTGTGCAGACTAGAGCCGTGTGGGTGCCTGGTAGCACAAGAGAGGATAAAGTAAAACAAACAGCATCTTACTCATGTTGGCATGAGGTGTCTGGGTGCTTGGAATGATTGTGGGGTGCAGGAACTGGTCAAGTCACTGAAACACAGGACTCATATAATCTAACCTATTTTATTGGCAGGAAAACTGAGGTTCCCCAAAATCAGTCAGTAGGACTCACTCCCAAGTCTCTAGATTTCTAGTTTATAATTTTTGGGTTTTTGGGGAGTACCTGGAATTGAACTCAGGACCTTGAGCTTGCCAGGCAGGCACTGAGCTACTGAGCTATATCCCTGACCCTATTATAATTATTATTTTGGATTTTTGAGACAAGGTCTTGCTCTGTAGCCCAAACTGGACTCACACTCCCAGTACCTTCCTCAGCCTCTCCCACGTGCTGGTATTAGAGGCGTGCACCACCACACCTAACTTCTAGTGTTTTAACTCTTACAGTCTTGGGGCAAAGACAGACATCTATGACCAGGGGAGTTTGGGGAGATCTACCTTTCTATTTATTGGGCAGTGCTAGAGATTGAACCCAAGGCCTTGTGCATGCTAGGCACTCTTCCACTGCACTACACCCCACCCCTCAGATGTTTCTTAGAACCCTATATCCCCCGACCTGAGCTTTGCAGAGCTAGTCTCATCCCTTTCTCTCTTCCTGTATTCAGCCTTACATGGGGCTGGGCTCTCAATAAACGTTTGTGGGATCCAATTGTAAGGATGGCCCAGGGTCCTCATCCCCACCCTCCCTCAGATATCGATGAGTGCAGCTACTCCAGTTATCTCTGCCAGTATCGCTGTGTCAACGAGCCAGGTCGCTTCTCCTGCCACTGCCCTCAGGGCTACCAGCTGTTGGCCACGCGTCTCTGCCAAGGTACTGGTTGCCTGGATGGGTCAGGCAGGGTGATGTCAGGGGCTGTTGACCTGACACCCTAGATTCCAGCCCCTTTCCCCTGGCACAGACATTGATGAGTGTGAGTCGGGTGCACACCAGTGCTCTGAGGCCCAAACCTGTGTCAACTTCCATGGGGGCTACCGCTGCGTGGATACCAACCGCTGTGTGGAGCCCTACGTTCAGGTGTCTGACAAGTGAGTTAATGCAAACCAGGCTCCCCTACAATACAACTCCTATAGGGCTATATGAATAGACTCATGCCTAAATGTGTTGGCAAGTGCCCTGCTGGGTGATGGGAGTTGTATTCTTGCAGCAGGAGCGGGAGGATCCTTTTGGGGTTCCCTCTTTAGGGGGACGGGTCAGGTAGACACTCATTATTGTTTCCTATTTGGGGGTCCCTAGCCGCTGTCTCTGTCCTGCCTCCAACCCTCTGTGCCGGGAGCAGCCCTCATCCATTGTGCACCGCTATATGAGCATCACTTCGGAGCGCAGTGTGCCTGCTGATGTATTCCAGATCCAAGCCACCTCTGTCTACCCTGGGGCCTACAATGCCTTTCAGATACGTGCCGGAAATTCACAGGGGGACTTCTACATTAGGGTAAGACCCTCCCCCACTCCTCTCAGCTGACACGCATGATCTAAAATGAAATTCCTTGGGGCTGGTGAGATGGCTCAGTGGTCTAAAGCACCTACTTAGAACAAGCTTAGCAAAGCCCAGGGACCACGGTTCAATCCCCCAGCACCACATGCCAGCCAGCCCGCCCCCTGGTGGGCTGAGCTGGCCACACACACACACACACACACACACACACACACAAATAAAAAAAAATAAATAAATAAATAAAATGAAATTCCTACAGGGCCGGTGAGATAGCTCAATGGACTGAATGCCTGCTTAGGCAAGCACAGGGACCAGTGTTTGATCCCCAGTAGTATGGTGCACTGAGCCAGTCACCGAGACCAGGAGGCTGAAACCAGGAGGATCACTACGAGTCTGAGCTGCTGAGCTGCATAGTGAGATCCTGTACCAAATACATAAAATGAAATTCTTGGAACCCTAATGAGATCCTTGCCACTCAGCCTGGCCCCTTTTAAAGCCCCACCCCCAGAGGCAGGGTTTCTATGGGAAGTGGGGTGGAGAGGTAGTATTCTATTTGCCAGGGTATAAACAGTTGATGTTAAGTGACAAGCCCTGCATCATTGGGGTTTGAAGTCTGGTACTGGTTTTCTCTATCTGACGTCAGTTTGTTGATCCATAAAACAGGTAATGGTGTAAGTGCAGGAACCCTGGTGAGAGAAGCTAGTTCTGCTGGCAAGCTGTGAGTAAAGGGCCCAGATGTGGCTCACACTGAGGAGAGCAAGGGTATCAGTCTTGAGGTCCCCATGCTGTATTCTTGGATGTCTGTAGCATCTGAGCTTGTTTTTTTGACATTGAATGCTTTGAAGCCAAATCCCTGCCATCCCCAAATAACACTTAGCCTTGAATCAGTTAACTCCAGTTAAACAAAGTAACACACACTAGCGAGAAATGAGGATAACACCAGTGACAGATCTCTGAGGGCAGGACCTGGGCGCAGGACAGGAAAATCTCCAGAGTATCATCAAAGAGCTGGATGAGAAGCCAGGCAGGGTGGTACACACCTGTAATCCCAGCATTTGGGAAGCTGAGGCAGGATTGCTGCAAGTTCTTTGCCATCCGGGGCTACATAGTGAGTACAAGGCCAGCCTGAGCTAGAGTAAGATGCTGTCTCAAAAAAAAAGGCGGGGGGGGGGCAGGGCAGGGTGATGGCTCAGTAGAATAAGCACTTGCCTGGCAAGCACAAGGGCCTCAGTTCAATCCCAAGTTCCATCAAAAAAAAAGCCAGATGATGGTTTGAATCACACCTACCTAAGGCTGTTTCCCTATCACACATATCACACAGCCACAGGATAGGGAAGTGATGGTAGGGCAGACTTGTGGCACATAGGCTAACACAGTCTCTATATCCTTCTACCCACTGTGCCCTGCAGCAAATCAACAATGTCAGCGCCATGCTGGTCCTCGCCCGGCCAGTGACAGGCCCCCGGGAGTACGTGCTGGACCTGGAGATGGTCACCTTGAACTCCCTCATGAGCTACCGGGCCAGCTCTGTACTGAGACTCACCATCTTCGTGGGGGCCTATACTTTCTGAGAGGGGACCCTCTGCACTGTCCCCTGTAGCCAAGGAGCCTGGGGGGCAGGGATGACTGTTTTGATAAAAGGGAAAATGTTGTGAAGGGAAGAAAGAGAAAGGCAAATAAAGGGAGAAAGAAGCCTCCTGGTGGCTGAGGTGGACGGGTAACCTCAGCTTGGGGAAGGGCTGGGCTTGTGGGAAGCAAGCTAAATCCTGTGGAATGGGGATGGGGGACGTGTTCAGGATGAGGGGCCTCCACTGATGGGAGCTATGTACCAGACTTCAGACAGGAAGTGATGAGGTATGCCAAGCTTTGGGTGTGACTGGTTGGCAAGAGGCCCAAGAAACCCCTGCTAGAGACAGTGCCAGAAGCCCCAGGCTTCCAGTCCTAGCTCTGCCTCGAAGTTCACAATTGAAGCTCTACTTAGCTGCCTGGGCCTGATAGACAAGGAGACTGTGAATGCTTTTCCAGGTTTTCCTTTCCAAGGTATAAAATCTCTTTAAGAACAGAAATCATATTTGATCAAGGACCATCCAAATTATATGAATAAAGTAGTTCAAAAACTAGGCATGGGGGCCAGGGAGATGGCGGGACCAGCGAGATGGCTCAGTAGAATAAGCACTTCCCTGGTAAGTGCAAGGGCCTGAGTTCAATCCCTGGTTCCACCAAAAAAAAAAAAAAAAAAAAAGGCATGGTGGCCCATACCCATAATTCCAGTGCTCTGGAAGGCTGAGATAGGAGGATCACAAAGCCCCTGAGCAACTCAGATCTAATCTCAAAATTATTATTATTTTAATGGGGGCTAGGAGATAGCTTGGTGGTTTAAGTGCCTGCCTGGCAAGCACAAGGACCTGGGTTTGATCTCTAGAACACAGGGAGTGCCTGTTCCAGTCCAAAACTGGGCATGGTGGTGCACATCTTGGCACTGGGAAGGCTGAGATACAAGGATCACTACACATCAGAGCTGATAGTGAAAGCCTGTACCAAATAAATAAATAAATAAAATATTTTTTAAAAACAAATGTGGGTTGGACCTGGTGGTGCACGCCTATAATCCCAGCACTTGGAAGGCTGAGCCAGGAGGATTACCAAATGTTTGAAGTCAGCCTGGGCTACACAGACTTTTTTTTTTGGTGGAACCGGGGATTGAACTCAGGTCCTTGCGCTTGCCAGGGAAGCGCTTATTCCACTGAGCCATCTCCCCGGCCCCTACACAGACTTTGTGTCAAAAAATAAAACACAACAAAAAATAAATGAAACAAAGGGCTAAAAATACAGCTTGTGCAAAGGTACTGGGTTCAATCTCCAGTACTGGGGGTGGGGAGATCCAAGACTATCAGGACCCATTGCCTCTACCTCCCTGACCAGGTACCTGCTTTGTTTGAGACAGGGTCTCACTATCAGGCTGGCCTTGAAATTACTTTATAGCCCAGGATGGCCTTGAATGCATGATGGAGATCCACCTGCCTCAGCCTCTAGAGTAATGAGATTACAGGTGTGCACCATCACACTGCTTGGACAGGCTGGGGGTACAGTGTAGTAGTAAAGCATTTGCCTAGCACATATGAGACCCTGGAATCAATCCCCAGCACGCACTGCAAGCAAACAGAAATACTAGAGACCATATGGTCTCTTCTCTCTGTACAGATATTTCACAAGGCCCTTGAAGCCTGACATCCCTTCCAGAACACAAAAGGCTGAAAATATTTGGATTTTTATTGTGGTTCCCCCAAAAAAGTCCTGGTTAAGAGGCTGGCTAGCCTGGATGGGGAGGTTTAGAGGGCTAGGATCCATTTGTAGCATAGCTCAGGTCAGGGGGGCATAGCTGCAGTAGAGCTGGGACAAGGTCCTGCTTAGAGCTGGCCCCAGATTCCTACAAGAACAAGGCAGGTGAAGGTTGGCCCAGGTCCTAGGGCAGCCCGGCCCCCACCACCCGCTTCAGATTTTCTCTTGTCCTCACCTCTGCAGACGCCCACACTTGATGGTGCTCAGCAGCATCTCCTGCTCCTTGGGGGTGGCACAGGCATCATAAGCGGCCAGGAGGCTGGGAGTAGGGAATACAGTGGCTGACCATCTGGGCCAGCACCATGTGAGCTGAGGCAGGAGGGGTGAGCCTGGGACAGAAGGGTCAGGATGCTGCATACTTCCTGAGTCTGAGACCTTGCTTCATCCTGTCTGCCCTTGCTTCTGGGCAACACTGGGGCAGACCAGTAAAGGCTCCAAAAGCTCCCCCAATCTGTGGTTCAGAGCCCATTCCAGGGAGCCCACTCCAGGAAGCTGCCTCTGCTGCACCAGGTGGAAAGTTTTCCTCCCTCCTGCAGGAAAGGCTATTTTCTTCCTCCCACCAACCTCCTCAGGGTTCAGCCAGATCTGCCCGCCTTTCTATTTATTTCACACAGAGCCAGGCCTGCTCCCAAAAAGCAGTGGTTAAGCTGAATTGGGAAAGGACCCTCAAGGGACCCCACTGGGTCATACCTAGCAGGGGTGCTGTATCGATCCACCACAGCTGCAGCCTTCTCCCCACTCACTCCGCCCACCTGCATCAGCTGCCGGGCAAACACCTCCCGAACAGACTGGGCCTGGGGTTGGGAGAGATTTGTGTCAGGGCTGGGCTGGGAATGGACCACCTAAGGTGTCTGGGCAGAGGCAGTACCTTATTCTTGATGGCTCCAGAGTTGAAATCACCAAAGGTGAAGAGTGAGCAGAGAGGGTTTGGGGAGGGCCTGGTTCCCGATTCAGGGTACACTGGGGTTCCCCAGGGGCGGCTGCATAGGGTGTGGTCCTGAGGAAAGAGGGGACTGAGGCCAGGATGAAGTTCTAAGGGTCAATAGACCAACCAATGGGGGAATCTCACCCATCTCACCTCCCTTAGGAAAGCAAGGACCCAGGTAAGGGACAAGGCCAAACAGGTAGATCTGCTCACCTGGTAAAGTCTCTCTAGACCCCGTGTCAAAAGGGCAAGGTAGGCCGCTGACTCCTTAAGGTCTGCTGTTCGCTTTACAAAGAACCCATCGATGACCTGTGGAAGTTGACCTAGGGCAGCATCTGACTCCTGGCCCCCACCATAGTTCCTAGGCCCAGCAAATTTGGCCCTGCCTTCACCTCTCACCTGGGTGTTGGTGACGGCCTGCAGCAGTGTGCTCTCAGGGAGGCTGAGGTTGTGGACTGAGCCATGATCTTCCACCAGGTATACCCGGTGGCCCAGGCCACAGCGCTTCAGTCGGAACTGGGGAAGCAGAGGCAGGATCAGGCCTGGGAGCCCACGTACCCCACTCAAAATCAGACCCTGGTCCCACCCGTTAGCCTTCTCACCCTTACTGGACTATCCACCTGTCTGAGGCACTCTATCCCTGTCCTCAAGCTTTGACTCTTGTGGGAAAACCCTGCATCTGCATGCAGCCCATCCTGCAGACCTCCCTTGGCCTGTTCATAGCCTCTTGATTGTGGGATCAGCCCAGCAGCTGGAATGGAGGCCAAATCTCTGCATTACATTTGGGCCTCATTTATCCAAGACCCCAGGGGCTAGGTACAGAAGGGGTCTTTAGGAAGCTCCTCTGCCCAGCTCAGATCCCGTTTTTCTGCTGTGCTCTAGGACAGCCTGAGGGGATGTGAAATGGGGCTGCCTGCAGCAGGTTGAAGGGAGGCTTTGCTAGAGACACTGGGGGTTCTGCCTGAGGTCAGACAGTGCCTTGGCTCCCCAGGGCCTGCAAGGCAGCTCTGAAGCAGGCAGAGCAGAGGGTAGGTGGAAGTGGGCCAGTGAAGGGACCTTCTGTTCCCGGAAGCGGCCATCGATGATGCTGCTACACAAGTCGTCTAGCCGCTTGCGTTCCACAATGTAATCCAGCACTAACTCTGCAGGTCTTGCTGCCAAGAAGCCAAGAAGAGTCCTGATGTTTTGTGTGCCCTCACCCACTAGGCCTGGCCTTTAATGCCAGCCGTCCACATCCTTTTACCTGTGTCTTTGGGCCTGGTCTCCTGTGCCACCCACACAAAGTCCCCAATGTGTAGCTTGCGCACCACATAGTTCACATGGAGCCGCTGTAGCTCTCGGAGCAGCTCTGGCCTGTGTCCTACCCTGAAATTGCAGGGAGGAGGCCAAAGTCAAGGTGGAGGGCCAGCCAAATAGCTCAGTGGAGGGCTGGGGTTTGATCCACAGGCCTGCCTGCCGGCCCTGCCCCCAAGGCGCATTGACACAGCAATTCAGACTGGGCACAGTGGTGGTGCGCTTGTAATCCCAGCACTAGGGAGGCTGTAAACAGGAGAATCACTATAAGTCAGATCTAGTAGTGAGACCCTGAATACCCTGTAGACCCTTCCCTAAAATACAGAAAAATAAAATAAACAAAGTCAAGGTAGGCAGGTACTCCCCTCCCTTAAGGATCCTCTGGTTATCTTCACAGCTCTTCTCCCTCACTTACCCCCTGGTCTCTCCAGTGTCCACACACAACACCACCTTGTACTCTGCAGGCCCCAACTCTAGCAGTGGCTGCTGTACACCCACTTCACTGGCGCCACTGTGGGTGGAGATTGCTGTGAGGCCAGAACCCCCAGGGCTGGACATCCCCTCTCCCCCACCTTTCCCCTTGCTCCTCACAGCTCAGCCAAAGCTGCTCCTGGCAATGCTGGCTCCTGCTCTGGGGGCTCCTTGGGCCCAGTGCCCACATTCAGTAAGCTCAGGCCTTCTGACTCAGCCAACTTCTGGGCCAGCTCCAGGCCCTCTGGGGTCAACGAATACCTGAGAGATGGAAAAGGTGAACACAGCTCTCCCTTCTTCATTCATACTTGGCAGGCTCTCCTACTACCACCAGTTAGATGGGCCACAATACCAGCCACTTGGCAACACTGTACAAACAAGTCTCCTCTATCCTGTTCTCCTGCCCCTCAGATCAGTTTCCTCGGGACTAGCCTAGTATTTCTCAGGTCTGTAATGTGTATGTCTCAAAGTACTTCCTCCGACCTTTACTCATGCTGTTCTCTCCTCCCTGAAACAACCTTTCTATACCTCTATGAGCCAAACTTTAAGTCATGTTAAATGCTGTCTCCTTGGCAAAGGTTTTTTGCTGCTCTAAAGGTGGCACTCATCCATCCTCCTACCATCTCAATTTCTCCTCCTGATACTCCAACAGATTGGCTGTCACAGGGAGTGGGGAACAGCCTTCTCCAATCCTAGCAGCATCAGGTCTGGAAATTGCTGGCTTACTTCAGGGGCCCACTAAGAATGCCATGCATGCTGGCCCATCCCTGGCTACTGTGTCCCCTGAAATTGGCCCCACCTGGCTGGCTGGTGTGTCCTGAGGACCAGGTTCCGATGCAGGAGAGAACGAAGGGCTGGCCAGGGTCGAGAACTCAGAGGGGCTATCTGTGGATAGGGGAGAAAACTCTTAGAGACCTCCTAATACTACAAGTCCCTATACTCCAGGCATAAGGGTCAGACTAGGCCCAATGCCAATTCTCATTGCCACAAAGGCACTCTGGTAGGCTCTATCTGTCCCTACCTCAGTGCTCACCCTGGGGTCCTTCTGGGCACACCTCTGTAGCAGCTCCTCCTTGGTTAGGAAGCTGTGACCATCAGGATCCTGCAACCATGGTACACATGACAGGGTAGGTTCAGTGCTAGGCTCCTGGCCCTGCACCAATGGCTGGGATGATTTCTGTCCACCTTGCCTGGCCAGACACTCTCACCCCACTGCCTCTCCCAACACTCCTGGCATGGCCAGCCACTGACCAGGTGCTCCCAGTAGAGCTGCAGCAGGACTACGCGAGCTCCTGAGTTTCGCGCCGGCCAATAGCCACTAGAGCCTCTTGCTTGGGGCTGGGCTGGAACCTGAAAGGGACAAAGAGATTCTGAATATAAATACTGCCAGTCAGTGTCAGGTCAGTTCCCAGGACAACTGAGTTTCAGAAGGATGCATGTCCTGGGCACGAGCCTTACTTGCTTCCCACTTTCCTTATCAAGAAAACAAGCCAGATGGTGGAATAACTCCATGCAAATCCAGCATGAGACAGTGGATACTTGCAGGGCAGGGACAGGCTGGGGTTGTCTGTCCGGCACTATAGGAGAACACTGAGTAACAACAATCCAAAACTAATTGGGCTGGGCCCTTTAAGTAGCTTAATTGTGGCACTTCCTCTACAGGTGTTACCCATATCCCCATTTACTGAATTAAAACCTTGTCTGAGGACAAGTCAATCACTACAGAGATCTGGCTCCAAGCCCACTAAATCCCTCAAACCAAAAAAATCCTATTCCCAGTACTCCCACTGTTTTCCACTCCCCTTGCCCTTTCTCACTGGCATGCAAGAGTCCTGGGTTTGGGCAGATGACTTTACTTGGACTGGGCTCTTCTCTCCAGATGGTGAGTCAGGAGCATGGTCACCTGAGAGCAGAAGAAAGTCAACCTGGTGTAATCTGGCAGGCGTGGGCAATCTCAGATGCATCTGCTCACATATGTGAACCAGGAGATGGAGTGCATCAACCATCAGCCCCAGATTAAACACTAACTAGTACCGGAGTACTAACTTAAAGCTAAGGTATCTAAGGTGTACACAAAGGCTGCACCTCGAGGAGGCAGGGGATCATCCCCATTCCTGCAAAGGTGCTCACCACCCGATGCTTGGTGCTGCTGTAATCGCTCGTCCAGCATTCGGCAGAGCCCGTCTCCGAAGTGCTGGAGGATCTTAGCTTCCTTCCCGCTGCGCAGGGGCAGCGGGTAGCGCCGAAGGGAGCGCAGTGCCTGGCAGATGTAGGGAGCTCGGTGAGGGCAGGGCAGGTGGCCTGGCTCAGCCAACACTTGACCCCAGCTGACCCAGTTTGGGACCCACCTTTTGAAACACGAAGCGCGTGCGGCGCCCCCTGCTGGCCGCCGCATCCCGCCACTCGGTCAGCCAGCGTACAAAGAGCGGGTTGGGGCAAACCGGTAGCGGGCGTTTCCGGCCCAGGTGGACTGGCGCCGCCATGAACCCCAGAGCGGATCCGCCGGCACTGGAAAGGACCTTCCCAATCAACTGCTCCCAGAGGAACTCTGATTGTTCCTCCCTGTACTACTCTGACAGCTACAAGAGCAGTATCTACAAGCCTGGGGCTACACTCCCCCAGGTCCGGATCAGCCTCTTAGACCCAGGTTGGAGCCTTGACCTGCCTCTTCCTCCCACACCAGATTCGAAGCGGGTGCATCCATCTCTGTGGCAGGCGATAGGAAAGCGGACAGCGCCTCCTGCGACGAGGAGGGCTGTCTGGGGCGGAACTTAACAAAAAGTGAAACTGGCAATTCCATTATTCATAAGACTATCAATTTCAGCATCATCCATGCAAAGAACGCTTGATATAGATAACTTGAGAACAGTCGGATGGTGAGGTACAGGAGATGAGACGACAAATAAATGCAAGTATATCTGTGAGAGAGACAAACAAGAAGGGCTGGCTGGAGATGAGGACACAAAGATAAGATTGGAGAAGCTGAAGGATCTCGGAGGAAACGGTGGTCCCTATCGGTAGGACACGGGGAAAGGGAGAAAAACGAAGAGGGGCAGGCTGGGGGCGCAAAGTGAGGATGCTCACAGAAGGGCCAAGCTAGACGGACTGGGTAGAAGAACAGATGAGTAAAACTTGTAAGAACGAGCAGGGCGTCCTGCGAGGTGGGGAGCCCTGTTAGGTATGTGGCTGAATCCTGGGGAGCGGCTGGTAAATAGGACAGATTTTGAAAGTGGGGGCCCTCAGAGAGACTGATAACTTCGGGGGCGTTTTGGGTACCGGGGATCAAACTGAGGACCTTGCGTTTGCCAGGCAGGCACTTAAGCCTCTGAGCTATCTCCCCTTCCCTTGACTGAAAATTTTGCAAACAAATCCCAGGTTGAGGGGTACAGGGCTGGTGCATTCCCCCACCCTACTCCCCGCCGGCCTCTAGCTATTAATGCTGAGAGTCAGAAGTGCAGATCTCGCGCCTCGGAGGCCAGAGCCCGTACTGGAGCGCCAGGCCCGCCCCTTCACACTAAACGTAGCCTACAGCCTTGCATCTTCAGCCGATTCTGTGTTCCCGCCTCCCTCCCAACGCGGCCTTATAAGGAGCCTGAAGCGGGTGTTCGGGTTGGCTCCGCCCCCTCTAGTCTCTTGTCCTAATAAGGACATCTAGGCCATCAGGCGGCCGGGGGCGGGCGGAGCGCGTCACCACGGTAACTGTAAAGCCCCCCCCCCCCCCCCCCGCCTGGTTGTTACTCTGGGAACTGCGAAGCTCAAAAAAGGTGGAGCTAGCCTCTTCAGCCAAGGGCGCTCGGGGAAGGCGGGGAGGGGGGGCGGTCAAGCTTCAGTCTCCACCTGGAGGTCCCAGAGCTCTGCCGGTGGGTGGTGTGGTGGATGTCCGTGACTACAACCCCCGGCATGCTCTGTGAGGTACCCCATTCCTGGGTATCTCTGTATTTACATCCTTTATTCTGCTTATGCCATCAAGGCCTCTGGTTCTGTTGGGCTTCAGACTTGTTGGCGACCTTGCCTTCTCTTCCTGCAAGAGAAGTGTGAGGCCATGGTCATTGTTCTAAGCCAACAAAATCTTGTTGGAGCCTCCCACTCCAGTTTATTTTAGGCTTATGCTCTCACAGTTTATGAGAATATTAAATAACCACAAACCACCCAGGCATGGTAGAGCACTCAGGAGGCTGAGGCAGGAGGATCGTCGTGGTCACTACATAGCGAATCCAGGCCAGCCTGAAATACGTAGCGAGACCCTGTCTCAAAAAAACAAAGTCCATAAACCTATCAACTTAAATTCAAATCCAGCTTAGTCTCTAGTTCCTCTTTTCACTGCCTGGTAAAAGGCTCATAAAGAAGTTGTGAATGCACAAACCCCCGCCCTTCCCCCTTTATTGTCTAATAATACTTTCCTCACAACTATCCCCTTATAGCCTTTCCTCCTGTTTTCCTCTCTTATTCTTATTTTGCCGAAGTTACTTATGACCTTTAAAGAGGCTCTGCACATGGAAGATGCTGAAAAATGAAGACCCTTTAGATTTGCAATTCCCTGCCTTAAGACCAGATTTCAGGCCAATGAAGTTGCTTCGATGCAAAAAGGCAAAATCCTAGTCCACTAAGAGATTTCAAACGAAGGTATCTAGAAAGCGCCACACAGGCCTAACGACGATCTTTTCTCCCTGGAATAAAGAACCGCTTAGTCCGAGATCCTTTTCGGGTCATTTTTAAGGAGCTCAGGGCCTATTGCTCAGCTCAAAGCCTTCCCTGGGAAATTCCTCCAATGAGCTCATTCTGCGCTCTATATTCCCGCCCTACTGTTGTCTTGGCCTACATTTCCCAGCACACACTGCGAAGCCGAGAAGCAGACAACACGTCGGACAGTTACTCAGCGAGCCAGACGACGGCGCAGGACCCTCGGACTTCATTTCCCATCGGCCGCGCGGGGAGTGCCGGAAGCCCGCCCCGCCCCTCATTGTGCGGCTCGTACTAAACGGAAGGGGCCGGGAGAGGCCGTGTTCAGTCGGGTCCCGGCAGCAGCTGCGGCGCCTCTTGTCTTCTTCATCTCTTTTTGCAGTCTCTCTTTCGCTTCCGGAAACATGGTGAGCGGTTTGCTAAGGCGCCCGAAGGGATTGGCAGTGGGTCTGTCGTTTGCACCCTTGGGGCATCAGGGTAGAGGTCGGCACCCCCTCCCCCAGCGCCCGGGGCAGGGTGAGGGTCTCCTACCGAGCGGCGGGTGGTGCTGGGCCGCGCGTGCGCGCCCGTGGGCACGGAGAAGAGTAGGCTTTTGGATGTCGCTCGCGCGCCCCCTGGGCTCCCCTCCCCCACCCCGCTGGTGCGCCCGCGCGGACACCGACCGTGGGGGAGGGGTCCAGGGCACGCGGGCGCGCGCCCCTCGCGGAGCAGCCGGCGTCGCGCGACGTTCTTGAGGGTGCGCGCTTGAGTGGAGCACGTGGCATCCAAACCAGACTCAAGGCTGCGAAAGAAAAGCCCGCGAGAGGCCTCGGCGCGCGCGCCCCACCCAAAGGCTGTTCTTTTCTCCGAGTCACCCTCCCTAGGCAGGAGACGCGTCGGTCTAGAGAACAGGTGGCTGGGATGCGGACGCCCGTCAGGGGCGGGGGCGGTGCAGCTAGAAGGATGCTGCGAAGACCGAGTCTTGTTTGGGACACTGGCTCCTGTGGTTAAGAGTTTGTACCGGAAGGCACGGAGTGAACCCCGCAGAAGCCGTAGCTGTGCTCGGTCGCTAGCGAGCTGGGTTCTTGCCCATACCCCGGGCTAGGCTGAACCGCACCTCGGCCGGCGCGTGCGCACACGTTTAGGCCTAGCCACCAGAGTCATAGCTCAGGACAAGCTGTGTTTCGGCTTTCCCGGATAGGGCCTGCGGGTGGAGCCGAGTTTAGGGAAGTGACCCAAGCGGGCACTGGAAGCCATTCTGTTCCCTGTGTTGAGCCCGAAGGCATGGAGAACTGATGCTTTTGTAAGTTGCTCAGGCTACCGCCTGGAGCTGATAAACCGATCTTGCCCGTCTGGGCGTTGAAGATGCGGTAACCTCTTGGGTATGGGTTTTTCTCTTGGGGAGGGGGCCGAGCTCGCACATCTTTTCTCCGCCCACTCCGGAAGCGGTCGGGTCACGTGTCCTGCTTCCTCTGCAGCTGGGGGGGGGCGGATTTCGCCATGGACAGTCCTTCTGGCTAGGGCTTCTCCAAGCACGATACAAGTAGATGTTTCAAGAGGGCGCGAGGATTTTGGCCATTAGTATTTGACCTGATAATTTCTGTCAGCAACCTTTGAGATGCTACACTACACTACTCTTAGAGGGTAGAGAATAGTCCAGCGAAGAAGAGGGTCGTTTGTGTAACATCTACATGATGTTACAGTTCTGACTGGCTTTGTGGACCTATTGGCACCTTTTAGTGTCGCAGCTAGCATTGTGGGTCCTGGTTGCTTCTTCCCTGAAGAGATTGCCGAGTGTTGGTCCTTTCCCATCTGTGAAGTTTTAAGCTTGTACTTTTTGTCCTAAAGCTGAGATTTGAGTACTGTGAAGAACCAAATCAGTAGTTCACGGATTCTTTTAATTCTGAGTTCACTGGTCAGCCAATGCTTTGCTTTTCGTAATTCTCTGGTTTCTAACCTGTAAAATCGGGGAGGGAGGATGTTGAACTACATAATTTATAGCAAGTTTCTTTTGTAGCTGCTCCGCTGGGGTTGTGTTCTGTCAGGTCTTTTGACAGTGGCTTGGGTGGAAAAGTAGTGATTTGCTTTGGTAAGGAAATTAGTGATCCCTTGGGATAAGGGCTATACTTTTTGGCATCTGGATTGAGATCTCCTCAAAATGGAGAGGAACTGACTAAAGAGGCAGTTTCCAGAATCTGTTTCCTCACAACATGTATCTGGCTTGCCCTTTAGGCCTCTGGTGTGGCTGTCTCTGATGGTGTCATCAAGGTATTCAATGACATGAAGGTGCGCAAGTCCTCAACACCAGAGGAAGTGAAGAAGCGCAAGAAGGCGGTGCTTTTTTGCCTGAGTGAGGACAAGAAGAACATCATCCTGGGGGAGGGCAAGGAGATTCTGGTGGGGGATGTGGGCCAGACTGTGGACGACCCCTATGCTACCTTTGTCAAGATGCTGCCAGACAAGGACTGTCGCTATGCCCTCTATGATGCAACCTATGAGACCAAGGAGAGCAAGAAGGAAGATCTGGTGTTTATCTTTTGGTGAGCTGCTCATTCAGGCAATTCTGTCACCTGCCCCCATTCTCAGCAGGGAAGTTTTACAGAAGTCCTGGTTGGCTAGAGGTGGGGTTTTGGAAATGGGGTGAATGTTATAACAAAATACATGTTAATGGGGAAGTTGATGAAACTCCAAGACAGAGGCCAGCTTGAGGGTTTCTTGAAGTTGGTGCCTCAGGGGAATTGCTACAAGTTTTCCTGTTTTTGTCTCCAGGGCCCCTGAGTGTGCACCCCTTAAGAGCAAAATGATCTATGCCAGTTCCAAGGATGCCATCAAAAAGAAGCTGACAGGTAAGGGCCAGTGTTGGTGTTTCCTCGTGCCTCTCTGCACCAGCTTTGGCTGCAGAGAGGAATGAACAACTTGGGAGAGGGCCCCACTCCTGTCTTCTTGGCCCACTGGGTGGAACATAGTACCCTTTCATCTGCTGTGATGGCTCCTTCCCAGCCACAGAAATTCCTCACCCGTGTTTTCTGCTCACAGAAACCCTTCTTTTTTCCCCACAGGGATCAAGCACGAATTACAGGCAAATTGCTACGAAGAGGTCAAGGACCGCTGCACACTGGCAGAGAAGCTGGGCGGCAGTGCCGTCATCTC